CCCGCGGAATCCATGTTCTATTTCTTGCGAACTTGCTCTTTTTTGTGAACCACAAAATAACCTCCTCCTATTATCTCTCCTTCTACACCTGTTCCCCGAGAAACCTTCTCTTATCACAATGCTGGGCTTAGAAAAAAAATCCCAGAAATGGTCGCTCTTATTCATATACTCCCTTTTTCTGCTGGGAGGAGAAAGATGAGACACTTTCGATTTTGTCTGCAGGGGAGGAACAAAGGGAGAACTCACTCAGACTTTGGACGGAGGCTCCTTTGTAGCTACTGACACCTCTACTGAGAAGCTAGGAAGTGGGGTGCTTTGCCCCCTTTTCAGGTTAAAGTATAACATCCTCAGGAGAGAAACTGCAGGAAGAGAAGGGGCCTTGAGCTTCCAGAGCAAGGTAGCTAGGGAAGGAACAGAAATGTGTCCTTTGTGGGTAGGCTGTTTTAAGATTCTTACTTTCTCAGTTTCTCTTGCTTCTGTGTGCCTTTTGTACCTTAATTTTTTTTTTTTAAACAGGCCTAGCTAGGCTAAGCTCTGCAAAAGATAACTAGGGAGAGATGTTTTGTCCCCACCTGTGCCAGAGCATTCAAGGAGATGCAGCCATTCTGGGGGCACTTGGTGGCAGAGGAATTTGATATGATCAAGTCCCAGCGGGACGGTAAAACTCTGTCAGACAATATTGGATCCACTTGGTAAACTATTTCTTCCCGCCTGGAGCTTCATCTTCTAGGGCAAAACCTTGGATGTTTTAATAAGATGAGTGATAACAGGAATAGGATGTGGACATGAGGTCTGCTAGGGCGTAACACCTGTGCCACGTGCAACCACAGCAGCACGTGGAAATCACATATTTGCATATCCTCCAGGACCTGGTTATATGAACAGAAATGAAGAAAACGCAAAGGTGGAATTATTAATATATGTATGAATGATTTGCCATCTCCCACTTGTAAAAAAGAGAAAATCTATTACAAATATTCCTCTCAAGATTGTACGCTATTTTTAATTCCTTTGAATAAGTGCAGGATAAATTTTTCCAAACAGTTCTACGTGCGAGTTTATTGGTGACTACGTGTCAATATGCTCATTTTCAGGGATCATTTATGAGCGATGAATTCTGTGTCTGGAAGAGCCTTTGTTACAGCTATTGCCTGACACTCCTCTAACTAGACAGCCCTGCCGGTGTCACTCCGATGACCAAACAGCAAATAGGAAAAATAAACCATCGATCAATTTAATACTAGCCTTTTCTTTCACACGAAAACCTGCACTCAGCTGATGATGACTGACATGAAAACTAAATCCATCTGCTTTATCACTCCTCTCCAAAAGGACAAGTCTGAGAGGCAGGGAAGAGAAGAAAATATGTAGGCTGAGTCTTACCTTTAATCACCTGCCTGCTGCTGTTGTATTAATAATCTGTGCATGTGGGAGAAGGAAGTCAATTGTTAAAATAATTCCTTTGCTGTTCAGTGTGAGTGCAGTATAAAAAGTGGAGATGGGAATCATGAGCAAGCTCTTTGAAAGCAGGATTTTTGGAATATTGTTTAATATTATGGAAACCACCTTAAATAGGGTCTGAGAATATGGTATTTCATTCATTCATTTATTCGTGCATTTAACAAATATGTGTCGAGTACCTATTGTGTCTCAAATGCATATTGGACATTGAAGATATAGTAGTAAACAAGATGAAAACATTCTTGCCTTCATAAAGCTTACAGTCTGGTGGAGAAGACAGACATTTCATAAATAAATAGGTGAGATAAATGTTACCAGAGAGGAAGCACAGAGTGTTTTGAGAGCATATTTCAGGGACTATGACAGGCCATGGTGGTGGTAGTGATTGATTCTTTCTGAGGAAGACACATTTAAGATGGGACACAAAGGGTGGGTGGGATTCAGACTGCTGAATGGGTGGGGCTGAGGTAATAGAGGGAAAGCCATGTGTGTAAACTCCAGGGCAAGAGCCCCCCAGGGGAGATTCAGAGACAGAAATAAGACTGGAATGGCTAGTATAGAGAAAACAAAAGGGAGAGAGGCATGGGATGAAGTTGGAAAAGTTGGAAAGGATTAGATCTTGAATAGCCCTGTAAACCATGATGAAAAATCTAAAATTATGCAAAGAGAAATACGAGAACAAATGATTTTAAGCCCAGAATGCAGTGCTTTAGAGAGATCTCTCTGTGTGCAGCAAGAATGATTAGAAGGGTGTTAAGAGCAGAGACACAGGGTCCAGGGAGGTGGCTAGGCAGTAGATGACAGTGATGATGATGGTGCCTTAGACTAGAACAGGGGCTGTGAACCTTTAGAGAAATGGTCAGGTTCAACAGACACCCAGGAGATAGAACTCACAGCACAATGCTTGATCAGATGAAGGGAAAGGTGAGGGCAGAGAGGGAATCAGAGTGACTCTCAGGCTTCTGGCTCAAGTGGTGGGATGGAATGGCGCACTTCACTGAGCCAAGGGTCCATGGAGGAAAGGCAGACTTGGGGAGTTGGTAGAAATATGACAAGTTTAGTTGCGGAAGTGTTTCATTTAGAATACCTATGTGACATCCAAGCAGAGTTGTCCAGTAGATGATTTGATATATGGCTCTGGTGCTCAGCAGAAACAAGGGTGTACATATATTACACCTTTATCTTCAGTTCTCTCCACTCACTTAACAAAGAAACACATAAACAATGCCTGTGGAAAATTACTTATAAGTTGTAAAAAATGAACCTATCCTTTAATCTCTCAATTCAATCTTTGGGACATTATCCCAAATAAATTATCCAGAAAAAGAAAGCCATATGCATTGAGTTATAGTTTATGATACCAAAAATTTAGAAAATATGTCCAAAGTAGTTAAATAAATTGTAGTCTAACAACAAAACAGAGTATTGTACAGATGCTAAAAACCATAATTTTGGATATTTTATAGCAGTTTAGAAAAGTGTTTATGCTTTAAAACTAAACAGCAAAATTCAGAAATCTATGCTCTGATTATAATTTTCTAAAAATGATTACACATGGGCAATTCATAGAAGGGCACTTGAATAAACTAAAAACATTGACTTGCTAAATGATAGAATTATGGTGATATTTTTCTTTTTGATGTATTAAAATGTTGTGTGTAGAGTAAATATGCTAAACAACTATGATAAATATGGTTTTCTTCTTTTGCTTTTGTTTTTGAAGCAAGCTAGTTTCCAGCTTAGATAATCTGAGGCACCGTCTTGCCAGTGGGAGACATGGGGTTCAATAACTGTGCATGGCCCAATGCACTTTGTCAACCAAGGTCATGCCTCCCACATCAGCCCACAATTACACAAGAGGCTCACTTCTGGGTGTGTCCTCATTTTTCCATCAGAAAAATAGTGCACCTCGGAGTACATGTGAGTCTCCACCAGGCGCCCGAGGACTCAGTCCTTTAGCCTCACGTCTTCTCTCCTTCCAATTGCTTTCTTGTCTCGGGCAACTAACACATGATTGATCAGTTTCTCTATTTCTGATTAGCCTTGGGACTTTAGTAAGAATTAATGATCCAATGTCTGAGACAGGTTCTTCTTCATTTTGTTTAATGTTTTCATCATCTCCCTCATCAAAGAGCCCCTCACTGAATATTTGCAAATGTTCATGAAGATGAAATGCCAACAGTTTCCAAAGGAGAGGTGCTCAGTAGGTACTGGATGCCCATTGTTACTCTTCTTGTCTATTCAGTTATATGCCCTTTGTGATCTACAGGGGGCACAAGAGTCTTTGCTCACAGGGAAGTCTTGTGTAATAAACAGCACCAGCAACAGCTGAGCCAGAATGCAAAACTCCTGGGTCAGGGGTCATCCTAAAATAGTTTGTGAGCAAGTTCACCGTTCAGGGAGGATCCTTTGTTTTTCAAAAAAAAAAGCTATGCCTGAGAACTAGTATAGAAAAATGAACTCCAGTGGCAATGTATAGCAAGGACAGATTTCACACTTTTGAAATAAGCTGGGCTACGTGCAAAGAAATCAATGCCAATGAAATAATGGAACATAAACCTTCAGAGGTAAAAGGGTTCTTTTCATTCCGAGAGGAAAAAATAAAAGCAAGCAAAAATGGATTTAAAACGTCCTCTTTGTGTGTTTGTGACAAATGGAGAATTAAGCAGATTGGATGAGTGGGTTCTCTTGAAAGAGATAAAATGATTGAATATTCAGACACTTCTTCTCTGGGGCAGCCAACAAGAAAAGTGTGATGAATGCCACAGTGGGATAGTCACGTGAGAGGGAGCTCAACAATGGAGCCAGACAGGGCATTGCTGCAGAGAGAATTCCTGTTCCAACTGCTCTCTTACCCAAGCAGGGAGCAATTCCATCCATCTTTCTAGGATGTAATATTCCCTTAAGAGATGGTCAAAAGTATATTTGAAACTTTGAGTGCTTTTGCATCTTCTAGGATTGAATGCAATGCCATCATAGGACAGCTGCTTGGGTGTATGATTCACAGTTGGCAAAGAAATGACTGAGTGCTTTTGAATGACCCCAAAATGCTTTATTATATTTTTAATTTTATTTTGAAAACATTTGAGATTTACAGAAGGGTTGCAAAGATAATAAGAGAGATCCCATATACTCTTCCTTCTGCTTCCCCTAATGTTAACATTCATCTAGCCATGGAATATTTTTCAAAACACAGAAATTAGGCTAGGCATGGTGGCTCATGCCTGTAATCCCAGCACTTTGGGAGGCTGAGGCAGGCAGATCACTTGAGGTCAGGGGTTCGAAACCAGCGTGGCCAACATGGTGAAACCCCATCTCTACTAAAAAGACAAAAATTAGCTGGGTGTGGTGGTGAGTGCCTGTAATCCCAGCTACTTGGGAGACTGAAGCAAGAGAATCACTTGAACCTGGGAGGTGGAGGTTGTGGTGAGCTGAGATCACACCACTGCCCTCCAGCCTGAGCGACAGAGTGACTCTTTCTCAAAAACACAAACAAAAACAAAACAGAAAACCACACAGAAATTACATTAGTACAGATTTTATTCAGATTTCACCATTTCCACTAGTGTCCTTTTTCTATTCCAGCATCCAGTTCAGAATCCCACATTGTGGTCAGGTGTCTCATCTCCTTAGTCCATTAAAACCTGTGCTTAGTTTCTCAGCCTTTTCTTGTTTTTCTGCACCCTGATACTTTTGAAGAGTATTGGTCAGGTATTTTGTGGAATATTCCTCAATTTGTGTTTGCCTGATGTTTTCTCATGATAAATCCTAGGTTATGGATTTTAGGGAAGAATTTTACTGAGAGGTTGTGCCCTTCTCATCACATTATATCAGAGTGTATGTGAGAGCAACATGACTTCTTACTGATGATATCAACCTTGACTCAGAAATGGTGTTATCATCCAGGTTTCTCCACTATAAACTCACTGTGCTTCCCTTTCCACACCCTACCCCTTAAAAGAGGGGCAGTAAGTCCAGCCCACATTCAAGGGGAGGGAATTTAAATTCCACCTCCTGAGAGAAGAGTAGTAAAGAATTTAGCTGTGTGCGGTGGCTCGTCCCTGTAATCCCAGCGCTTTGGGAGGCTGAGGCAGGAGGATAGCTTGAGCTCAGAAGTTTGAGACCAGCAGACCACATGATGGAACCCAGTCTCTACAAAATATACAAAAATTAGCCAGGCGTGGTGTCGCACACCTGTAATCACAGTTACTCAGGAGGCTGATGCACGAGAATTGCTTGAACCGGGAGGCAGAGGTTGCGGTGAGCCGAGATCACGCCACTACACTCCAGCCTGGGCATCAGAGTAAGATTCTTTCTAAAAAAAAAAAAAAAAAAAAAAAAAATTGTGAACATTGGGGGAACTACTTTGAGGCCAAATAGTTTTAAGATTTTAGACATTAATTTACTTTTTTTCTGATTACAAAAGTATAAAGCAGAAAACCTAAATCTCATCAATCTCAGAAAAACATGAATCTTGGCAATCACTATGTATTATATATAGCTGCGTGTGTGTGTCTTTATTATTTGGTAATTGACTCCTTTAACTTAGTGCATTACGAACATACTTCAGTGTAGTTATATTTGGGATGACTATGAAGTATGACATGAGTCATTTATTGCCGAGCCCATAGCAAGAGTAGATGCTTCAGTTTAATACCATTACTAAGGGTTTAGCAGTACATAGGCTTCTAATCTAAAGCTCTATTACAGGGGCGAAGTCATCTAGATTGAGATTGTATGTGCTGTGTCCAGACTTAAAGTCAGAAGCAATGAGCAAACCCCTTAGATTCCAAACATTACAGCTTTCATTTCACCCCTTTACCTCTGAGACCAAAGCCACAAGAACAACACAGTGAAACAGACATTGTATAATATTAGCTTAAATCTCATTCCAAAGTATTTGCTCGCCAGGTATAGTGGCTTATGCCTGTAGTCCAAGCACTTTGGGAGGCCAAGGTGGGCAGAGCACTTGAGGTAGGGAGTTGAGACCAGCCTGGCCAACATGGTAAATCCCCGCCTCTACTAAAAATATGAAAATTAGCTGGGTGTGGTGGTAGGCACCTGTAATCCCAGCTACTCTGGAGGCTGAGGTAGGAGAATCGCTTGAACCCAGGAGGTAGAGGTTGTGGTGAGCCAAGATCGTGCCATTGCACTCCAGCCTGGATGGCAAGAGCTAAATAAATAAATAAATAGTTTGCTTTTCCCTGACTGGAAAAAAATTTGGATGTTTTGTTTTTCTCATTTTAGGAGCCCTCACCTGGGAGGAGAACATCCAGCCGCTGGCAATCAGGACTTATTTCCCCTTCAGCCCTGGAGAAGCGGCAGAGCCAGGTGTGACACTCTCTCACTCTTTCTCTCTCTGCCTGATTCCCTTTCTATCAGGATTCTAGATGAGGGTAAAGAGTAACAAATCAATGCTTATGTTATTGAAGAGGTTTGTGGCAGGGAATAACCATGTAACTCGCTGGGTCTGGAATTAAAACCAGGGCTTGGATGTCAAGCAAGGGAAAAGACCAAACTAGAGTGCTGATATGTTTGTAAACAATGCTTTGACAAGAATGGCCATTTCTCTCGGTTTTTGGATGTGTTTTACAGTGATCCACAAGAACCATATAAGGCTGAAGCACATCAGGATCACCCGGGGGCTGAACATGCAGTTTGCTAAACTTCATCGCCAACCTCTTTGATTAAGTAGGTCTGGGGTGGGGTCCAAGCAGTTGTGTTTCTAATAAGTTTCCGGGTGATGCTGATGCTTTTGGCCAAGGACTACACTTTGAGAATGACTTCTATGGACCAAGCTATTTGCATAGATCAATTTCTGCACAGGTTGCAGTGCTGACTAAGTGGATGTGATGAACTAATAAATGCAACACCAGGACAAAACAAAATTTAGTCTGCCTTGCTCCAATTTTATTCTAATTAACATCTGCTCTCTCTTGGGCTCCCTGCAAAAGTCTTTTGATGTTTGCATTCGTAACCACCACCAAAATGAGCTTGATGCAAAAATTCATTCAATCGCTAAACATTTTATTTGTGATGACAACAAATTTTTATTTCTCTAATTTGAGAGTTGTTCTGTTTCGTCTTCTATGGTGGCCTGAGCAGGTGTTTCTTTCTCTCTGACATCCACCAGGCCTCACTGACTAAGAGTTTTCTAATCTTTTCTCACCATTTGCTCTTCAGAATTCTGATGTTCTTGGGGCTGGGGCCTGCTTTGTATTTTAGGGGTCTTTGCCAATTTAAACTGTCACTATTTTAGTCTCAGATATAAATAAATAATTTCTGATATCTGAGTCATAAGGTGAAATGAAATAGTTTGGAATATATTCCAAGACCTTGGCATTCTTCAGGGATATGGTCCAAGACCTTCATCAATTCTCAAACTTGAGAATTTCTAATGCAGTCTGACTCCCACATTCTTGCCTCAGTGAGACACTCTGAAACGTAGTTCCAGGAAAACAAGCCAGACAGCACCACGAAAACATCTGAAGAAAGCAATGCAAAGAGTTCAATGGAGACAGGAAGTAAGGGCCAAAGAGGTCTTCTGGAATACAATGCTGAAAATGAAATAGTGCAAGTCATTAAATGATTGCTTGCTTGCTGAGGATCACTCTTTCAGAGGGAGATGAAAGCAGGGACATGAAATGGAATGGACTAAGTTATTATCTTCATGTTTTACTGCATAAGCAGAAGCGGCACCCATTCTGGCTACAGAAACAGCTGGTATGGAGCCAATGGCGTGGTTTGTTATGGGCTTGGGCTGGGCTGGTGCCTGCTGTAAATTATCAGGCACATAAAGCTGAGACTAGAAGTTGGTCAGACAGGTAAGAACAGAACTCTGGTTAGAGACTCTCAAATGAAGCGGACAGGTGAGGGTGGGAAGAGCATTAAGTTTATGGAGCACTCACCATGGGCCTGCTTGTGTTTGGAGTGCAAATATGATTGTGTCCAAACGGGGAGTTGGTTGGATAGTCGTGTCAGAGACTAAAACAAGTAAAGACCTGATCAGGAGTAGGTACCAGATAAAATACAGAAAACATGGTTAAATTTAAATTTCAGGCAAACAATGAATATTTGAAACATGCTAAACAATTACTTGTTCAATTAAAACTTAACTGGGTGTTTTGTATTTTTACTTGCTAAATTGGACACCTTTAGTTCAGGAGGCAAACGTCAGATAAGGCAGGTTGCAGCAGCTGAGCTGAAGTCAGAAGCACCCTCTGGGGTTCTGCTCAGGAGGTGAGCTTGCTGTGGGATGCTGCATAGTGAGGGAAATCAGGGGATCCACTTTCACCAGGTCTAGGGGAAAGCTGTAGGGAGCACTTCTGTGTCCAGCCAGATGCTTTTATGTTGCTTTTTTGTTTGTTTGTTTGTTTACAAAAAGCGAGAGAACTTTAAGAAGTCCTAGAGTCCAAGGGGTGACTTTGGGCAGAGACTCTAATTGTGAATCCTCTGTAGCTAGCTAGTACGTGTGACTCAGTAGTGGCAGAGAAGAGAGGGAATTAATGAGCATCTGCTCTGAGTCAGGCATTTTCCATGGGCCACTATCGATATTTTCTTAACAACTGTGAAGCTGTGGGGAGTGGTGGTGCCTATTAATTCCCTTGTACCCCAGTCCTTACTGAAATCTATTTTACTCCTCTCTTTTCCCTCCCCTGCATACACACATGCAAAGCCTGGACTTGACAGCTTTATTTTCCATGTAAATCTTATTATTTAAACTGGGAAGAAACTTTCCTGAAGCTTTAGAATGGGAAGGAGTGACTGAGCCTCTTTTTTTTTTGAGATGGAGTTTTGCTCTTGTTACCCAGGCTGGAGTGCAATGGCATGATCTCGGCTCACCACAACCTTTGCCTCCTGGGTTCAGGCAATTCTCCTGCCTCAGCCTCCTGAGTAGCTGGGATTACAGGCACGCACCACCATGCCCAGCTAATTTTTTTTATTTTTAGTAGAGACGGGGATTTCACCATGTTGACCAGGATGGTCTTGGTCTCTTGACCTCGTGATCCACCCGTTTCGGCCTCCCAAAGTGCTGGGATTACAGGCATGAGCCACTGCGCCTGGCCTGACTGAGCCCCTTAATTGCAGGGGAAAAAGTTAGAAGGTTGAGTGGTCTCAGAAGACTGGTTTGCCATTTTAGGTGTCCACACTAACAAGTGCATGCCATGAATAGTGCAGAGAAAGCCAGTGCACAGGGGGAGAAAGTGAATGTGAAAGACAGAAGTGGAGATGGCACAGAGGGAGAGAGACAGAGGCGGACTATTGGCAGCTTTCCAGTTCCTGTTAGACACAGCTGTCCTCCTTACAACCGGCCTGGCCGAGCCACTCCTTTATAATTCACCCCAATTTTGTATTTTATTGAGTGGCTTGTTGTGCTCACAGCGTGCTGTAAACCAGGAATTATCATTAACTCTCCTTTATAATACATCACATGGCAAATAAATGGTAGAACCTGAAATTGACCCCAACTTGGCCAATCGCAACTGCCCTTGCCCTGCCTGGTTCTAAGGTGCCTGCTCTGTCTTACTTGGCACCCTGCTGGGTCCCCTTCTCCTGCCACGGCATATGATGGATGTTAGGTGACTCATCTTCTTCTACTGGGTAGCCCACAGAAGTGGCAATGGCTTACCCAGAGGCAAGGACATGGGAGGTGGAGGAAACAGGTATTGAGGTCATATAATTGAAAGTGGAAGGCTGGTCAGGGCTTGTCCAGCAGGTAAGACCAGACTCCTCCAGCTCCGTGGTCATCAGAAGAAATAGAGCTGCTGAAGGCATGGCTGACAGGCACTGTCAACCCAGGAGGCTTAAGTGAGGCAGTAGCAGAGTCAGTGCAGGAGGTCAAAGATTGGATGGTTCCTGCCATTTACCTCGCAGGGTTGGATAACTCCAGATTTCCTACAGAAGCTGAAGAGCACCTCTACTGTGCAACCAGCCCTGTGCCAGGCACTGGGGATTCAGGGATGACACAGGCTGAAATGATACTCCCGCTCTTAGGAACTCACAATCCAGTGAAGATGGATGTAGTGAACAGAGAATTATAACTGATTAAGTTAATCAACGCAGGTGAGCAACACAATATGAAGGAGAAGTACAGGGTGTAGGGGGTGGCACAGTGGGGCGGTGAGGTGATCACCACAGCAGCTTAGCATGGCCCAGTCCAAGAGGGAGCCCTGCCCTTCCGAGAGCATCAGCTATAGACCCTTCAGATCAGGGGAACTATTTGTCTTGGGAGTCAGGCAGGGGAGACCCACTACTAGGGTCAATGGAGCAGTCCACTCAATGGCAAGGGAGATGAAAGCTAAGGTTTACAGTTTCTCTTCGAATTTTATTCTTCAGAGTATTCATTGGTTGAAGTGTTTGGCATCTTGGTAAAATCACTGGGAATCAATTTTTCAAGGCCAGTTCATCTCGTGACTAGCTTGATAAATTACTGAAATTATAACAGTTGGTCAGATACAGATTTTAATGGACATAGAACAGCTTGTCGCAGCCATTTTATGGGCAAGGACAAGCAAGGTAAAGGACAAAGACAAGCACAAGCCAGGATCTGATGAAGGGGAGAAGCAGGCAGAAAATGGACACGTGTCCCAAGTCAGAGAGGGCGCAAACGGTGCCAAAGAGAAACTCATTCAATTGATACAGAACTTCTACCCTCAGAATAGCCTAGGCATCGAAGAAGTGAAATCTAGAAGAAATTGACATTTAACTGACATCATAGCTAAATGAGCAAAATGCTAAAGTAGCCTCAGAAAAGACATGGCTAAACCAAAGCGTGGGGACATCCTGTTTTGTAATGAGTTCTTCTGGCAAATAGATTATTTGAGAAATTTATTTTTGGCAGATTGGTTAATCAGAGAGTTGGCTTTCAAAACCATGGTGATTCAGGGTAATGTCCTGTTTCCCTTTTATTTGATCTACTTATTTGTCAGGACTCTTTTAGATGCAAGTGACAAACTCAAAACGGCTTTGGCACAAATAGTAAATTACAAGAAAGATATGGGAGCATCCTATGTAATTGAAGGAAGGATCTGGGCAGCCAAACAGGAAGATAGAGCTGCAGTGGGTCCTCAGGGGCCCCTGACTCAGGTTCATGCTGGACCACTGCTGGTGTCTGCCCAGCCTCGCTGGAGCACTCTGGCTTCTCCCACAAGATGCTGATGGGTCCTGGGCCTCACACCCCACAACTCCCTCCCCTGGAGCAGAGCTCACTCTCTGCCCAGCATTGGTTTAGAAATTGCAGAGAGGTTCTCTGATTGGCCAGCCTGATTAAGGTACCCAACAATGGCTGGAGGGATGGTTTCCGGAAGAATGGGATGATGAGGGCAGACAAAAGGGATGTCTCTTACAGGCCTTGTGAGAAGCTGGGAAAGGTGCCCTTGCCTCCTATACCCACATTTGAGTTCTTAGTGATATAAAAGGACAACACCAGCCAACATCCCAGATAAGCAGCCCTCCAGTCTCCTTTCCCTACCTGCTGGCTTAAAATTGTGATCCCTCTCCACTCTTAAGTCAGAGGAGAGCGGAGTGTCCCCCAGTCCTCTGCTCAGCAGCAGTAGGAACAGAATAACTGCAGGCCAGGTTGAGCCTCACTTTGAACACGGCAATGGCTGTTTAATTAATGCCACAGGGGATTCTTGTGACAGGGATGAAAAGAGGGAGAGGGCCAGGGACGCTGCTCTGGGGCGCTGGGGAGCTCACCAGGGCCCTTCAGGAATCGAGGCTCCCTGGCCACCCAGAACCTGGCTGTGAGAGTGCGCAGGTGTGCTGCCTGTATAATGCCCTTGATCTCTAAGAGAAACAGTGGCCAACCAATCAGTTGGCAACCTCCTGCCAAGGACTCCATTAGCCCGCTCTGGTGGCTGCTTCTGAAGTGGCAGCCGCTGGCTCTGCTCGCTCACTTGTTCACGGAGGACATATGGGCCAGGCAGGGATCAACGAGGGAACATCTGGCACAGGAGCAAATCAAACAGCCCCGATGACTAATTTAGGAGTGTTGTCTCGCCATTGTTCTTTCTGTGGCCCCATGCAAAGGTCACCCCGTGTGGCAGGCTCAGAGAGGCCACCGCTTCACCTTCAGCTGTCCTCAGGGTCCAACTTGTTTGCCTTAAAAATGAATCGATAGCTTCTTCTTTGAGGGCTGAAACAGCAGCTCCCTATCACTGAATCCTGAATGCTCACGTGCATCGTCAGCCCCTCCTTGCAAGCCCCCAGGTACCCCTGTTTTTTGTTAGCCATTTATCATCTGGCCTCTGAAGTCTCTCTTAAAAAAAAAAAACACTCTACTGCATTCATGTTCTATTTCTGCAACTGAGATTTTTCTCCTTTGGGTTCAAATAAAAGATAGCAAATGTTAAAGAGCATGAGAGAAAAAGGCACACATACCTGGCCCATGAATAGACAAGATTGCCTGTGGTTCTGGTTTTGGTGGTTTATATAATAGCTTCAAATGCTGGTGAAGACAGGTCTCACTCAGCCTTGCCAGAAATGATCTCTAAATTAAACACCCGTGTTTTTAAAAAATTATCTTTAATGGCACACTGGAACCACATAATTTTCAGCCTTGAAGGAGGATTTGGTAGGATATTAGGTGCTATTCATTTTCTCTTTTGGAGCCAGGAGCACACATCAGACAGTTTATCTGTAAAAATTCTCCATTGGAAATGATACACCTTTTCTTGAGAATTTATTCTCGTGTATGAAAGGTGTGCTGTGGGATAGGCCGTGTCTTCTGTGGTTGGCGGCCCGCGTCCTAGCTCACCAATAACACTTAGCTGCCTGTCATGGTGGCAAGGCCTCCTGCTTCTCCTTCTCATCTAGTATCACACACTCCTGGGGCTGGGGGTGTGCAGGGTCATGGGCTGGAAGGGGTGGTATCCTATTGCTGCCCAGTCAGAATTACTCATCCCTCTGAAACACCAAGAAATAAACCGATCCTCTTCCTAGTGGAGAGAACATGTTCTATCCCCCACTTATTAAATTCCCCAGGGAAGCGAATGCTCAATTTCTCTGCTGTTTTATCGTGCAGTCATCCAGCTTCTAAGAGTGATTCTGGAGTTGCCTTGCTGGTTATCTCCATTGGACTTCTTCAGTACAACACCAGCCCCTGCTACCCTTCACTAACATAGATCAGCATCCTTTATAAGACAAGCACCCCAGGCAGCTGGGTGATTATTTGAGTGACAAGAGAAGTGGATTCTAGTCTAGCTTAGTCACAAATTCTCTGTACGCTCAGAGACAAGTCACAACCTCTCTGGGCCTCAGCAGTTATACCTTTTAAGACACATGAGTCTAGATCTTCTGATTTGGCGATAACAGAAGGTGGGGGTGGATAACAGATTCAGGAAAAAAGAGAAATGAGAACACTGCTTCGACAACACGGCAATAATGGTGAACCAACCCGAGTTTGGAGCCCTGAATGCTACTGTTCAGCGTATTCCATTGTGTCTTTGCTATTCGAAGCTGCTCAGAGACAGAGTCATGAATCAAGACTTCCAGTAAATGCCTCTGGAACGTGGGGGAATCAGAAGCTGGCAGGAAGACAGTGCAGAGCATTGTCTGGAGCTCGTTCCTCTTGGTTGCGTGACTGCCCATTATGACTGTCTGATGATAGCAGTGTGATCATTTGTCTAGTAATTACAAAGCATCTTCATTTTACTGCCTCTTTTAATGTTCACAATAACCCCGTGAAGTAAATATTATTTTCCCTACTTTAGAGATGAAAACCCTGAGGTTTAGAAAGGTTAATGACTTGTTATATGCTGCTCAGGTCCTAAAGGGTAGAGTTGAGATGCAAAGCTAGGACTTCTGATTTCGCATATAATGCAATTTCCATCTTTTCAACAGTTGTCAGGCTATTCCCTCAAAGGTCTGGGTTTGGAGGATGTGCCTGGGGTGGTGGGGGGGGCTGGGGAGAAAAGCTAAACCAGTGGCGCTTGGACTCCCGGCTTCAATCAAAGCACTTTTATTGTTCTGCTCTATATTTATATAATTCCACACTCAATTTGGTTTTAAACAAAATGTTTCTAGTGCTAAAAAAATCAAAATTTATGGCATACAAAGTGTACCCCCATGGTGCTGAAGATGAAAGCTTTATCAGTCCCCTTACTCATGCATTCTTTGTTCCAACAATCCCGACTAGAAATCCTCTCTCTCTCGGAGGAGCTGACCACAGCCACTCTTACTTTTCTCAGCCCAGAGAGTCACATTCTGTTTTTGCAGGCCTTTCATGGGAAGAGTGTTCTGTGGCCAAGGTAGTTGCTATCGAGCCAGATGTTGTTCAGCCCAGACAGACCCCATGCCTTTCCTTATAAGAATTGACCCACATGTTCCAACTTGCCTCATAAATATAGAAAGAAAAGCCTAGCTTCCATTTTAATTAGATGAAATAATTGCATGTCACACATCTCCTGAGCAGTTTTGTACTCACTCTGACTGTGATGCAGGCATTAGCATTCAAAGATGCTGCTTGCCCTGTGTACAGATGTTGGGTTTATAGACTGTCATGTTCCCCGTGGCCACAAGATGTCAGGCAAATATGGTCATGGAACGTAGGTGCAGGAAGGTGCCTTGGCTCCTGGAAATGCCACTGACGAGTTCGTTAGCTGATTAAAATCCTTCCAATAAGCTTGTCGGAAGAACCCAGGGAAAGTCTATGAAATGTGTCATATTGTTATCCTGTTGATGGAGGCGCTGAACACGACTAGCTGGTAATCAGATTAAGATCAACATATATTGATTGTACATGCTTGCACGATTAAATCCTGAATAATTAAAGGCCACTGAGTTTCCCAGCTCTGACTTTAGTGTGTGCTTCCACAAGCAACATGTGCCGTGTTCCCAAAGTACCATGAACAGTCATGGCTGTAGGAAAGAAATGGGATCAGTCAGAGAATCAGTCGCTTTTAAAAGTTTCAGTTTGAAACTCTGATGAAATAAAGAAGCGGGTCTTAAGTTAGCAGCTATCCTGTAGTTGCAAGATATTTTATAAACCAAAAGATATTCAATGAAATAAAGCCATACACTGAAACTTACTCATACCTCTAATGTAGATTTGTTTACTCCATGATTTGAGGGATTTGTTAATTAACAGCTGATCTGACACACCACCCCTCAGTATTCTTTTAGTCTCTTGACTGACTTCCTATAGAAGCTTCCTTGGGGTCTGGCAGAAGGAAGCAGTAATGACAAGCAAAGGTTGAGCTCAATCGATCTGTGGTTATTGAGTTCGTACAGAGGGCTGGGTACTGCTGAGGCTGCAGCAGACCTGGAGGGCATGGCCTGTGCCTCACTGTTTCTTCCCTTTCGTTTATCTCTTTCTTCTAATTTTCTGTGTTCTGCTTCTTAACCCTTCAGATGCTTCTTACTGCTAAGCTAGAAGGTGAGAGGACACGCTTTTATTTATTTACCTTTGAAAACATGCTGATCTCCTACTATGTGCTAAACTTCGGCCTGGACATTCAAAGACAAATTTGAAAATGGTGCTTACCTTGCTCTTGGAGCAGACAAGCCAAAGATCCCATTACAGCAACAAGGCGTTGGCAAGGCAATCAAGTAAATGTTCTGTGGAGTGCACAGGCAAGGAGTGGTTCATTCTGCTTGGTCCTGAGGGCACTGCGGTACTTCACAACAATGTAAATTGGAGCTCAGCAAGTGAACAGGGATGGGGCAGCCTGAAGAATTAGAATATGCGAAGGCAACTCTGTTATGATAAAAGCTAAGCTGCTGTGACAAAGAGATCTGCAGTGTAGTAACTTGAAAAGATAGAAGTCCATTTGCCTCACATAATAGTCTAAAGGTAGGCGGTCTGCTGGGGCTGTCCTGCCCCATGAGGTCATTCAGGGACCATGGTCCTTCCAACTTGTCGCTCCACCATCCTCTGGACATTTTTCACACCGCTAGAGTATCAGCTGGCTTGCTAAGTTCCAGCCACAGGGAGAATAGGGAGCAGTGGTCCAGGACAAGTTACTTTATTTTGGTAAGGAAGTCAGAAATTGCACACTTCTTTATATTTCATTGTCTTTGACATGACCGCATCTAGCCAGAAGGTGGGCAGGGAAATATGCTTTTAATTAGGTGGTTCTGTACTCATTAAAAAAATAACAAAACAAGTTATGGGAAGCAACTGGCGTCTTGCCACAGCAGAGGCACATAGAAGAGAATAGCGTGTCGTGGACGTAGCAGGAGTGTAGCTGGATCACAGCTCACGTGACTGGTAAGGTGGCGCCAGGATGTGGAGGAGTTTGATTGCTATGTTGCTAAAAACTTTTTTTAAATGAAAGCAGCATGCTGAGCTTTGTGTTTGGGGTAAGTCACTTTAGCACCTGGGGTTTGAGCAAGCATTGGAATGAAGGCTGTTGTTGGAGGTCCCGGTGAAAGACGGTGAAGCCTTCGCTCAGGAAAGGAGGGTCAAGGGTAGGGGAAAGTGGATTTAAGAGACAGTCAAGCTGTAGCTAGAACTGAAACTGGCTGGTAAGATTCTTAGGGTCACCTCAATTAAAAACTGTTAACGAACCACACTGACAGTCTTTTTATTATTGGCAAAGTCTCTTCAACCGAGAACAGCTAAATGTTTCCTTGACCCCGGTCCTCAGCCTGTGTCAAATGTGCACATTCTAGAAATCAATGGAGCACAGTAGGGTCTTTATGGTTTACCAAGTTGGGTCCATGTTCACTTCTCATATATTCTCAAGACAATCTTGTGGGTTCAGAACACAGAATATGTCAGTACATTAAGAGTGTCTCTGCCATTTGCCCCTCAGGGACTGGGACACATAAACCAAGTTCACAGAGACTGACATGTATTAGCTAGTACACCAATTTAGTCTTCTGTAATTAGAAAAGCTACTGGCAGGCAGACATATGTCAACTTGGCCTGCTCTCTGGGGGCACTCTACATGGGAAGTCAAATTATCAGAAGGTTGCTTGAGGGGTGTGGAACTGAACAAGGGGAATTATACATTTGAGTATTAAATGGTATTAAGCTCTGATAGCTTGGTGCATTCATCTCCAAGGTGGGAATGTGGCTGTCAGGGATACTAACTTCCTGGGTTGGACTTACCAGGCATCTCATCTTAGACAAATCTAGGAAGAAATTTCCAAACTTGAAAACTTTGGCATTTCCGTGACTATAACCACGCTAGGGGATATTTATAATTAAGCATCTCACATGGAGACTCTGATAAGTATCAAGACATCCCTGCCCCAGTTTGGAAACTGTTGGGAGTATGGTTTATTCTGGAGATGAGCCAGAGGGGATCAAACACTCTGAGAGATCAGAGACCAACTGCGGCTAGCAAACGTTTTCTGTAAAGGGCCAGATAGTAAATACTTAGGTACTGTGGACCACGTGCTTCTCATAGCTACAGAACTCCATCACTGTGGCACAGAAACTGGCTTAGACAAAGTGTCACCAAATGTTCCAATGAAAGCTTATTTACACAAACAGGCTGTAAACTGGACTTGGCCCATGGGCTGTTGTTCGCTGACCCCTCGAGATGCCAGTCCTAGATTATCTGTTCACGAAAACTTTCTCCAAAGAGGATTCAATACTATTGATGTTTTTTCTATTGACTAAATCTTAATTATCTTCAAGTTTGCTATCCCGAGTTTGCTCCTAGATCACCCTGCCTAGAATTTGGGGTGTTTCTAAATCTACAAGGCACAGATAATCTCTTGGTTTACTCCCACAGATATTTGCCACATCTACTGTGCGACCAGTTGAAGTTTCCAAAGCCCATCTTATTTCTCTCCAAGTTCCAGGGTAGCAACTTGGCTGCATCTGTTAACAAAACCCATTTTACAGATGAGTAATCCAAGTTAGAGTCACACAGGTGAGTGGCAGAGCTGAGACTGGCTGTCAAGTCATCCACCTGCAGGCCCTGCGTTCGCTCTACTTGGTCATATTTTCCTGGGTGGTTTCTAACTCTGTAGGCATAAAATTTGGACAGGGAGGTAAATTAATTTAGTTCAGTGTAATGACAACAGAGAAATGTGTTGTATGGGTATGGTGGAAAATGATTAGGGCTTGGGGACTATAAATACAAAACAAAACTGAAATGTAAACCTGAGCTCCCTGCCTAACTTCTTCTTTATATCTACAGCAAACATGACCTTTCTGGAACAAAGAAAAGAGGTGATTTAGTCATCGAAGCTAAAGCAGTTTTATGTGACTGTGTGTTTGGATTTAATTTCTATACTTCATTGAGGATGCCGTGGTGAGCAATATCTGCTTCCCATTGTGCTGATGACGGGGGATGAGACCAGAAATATCCTTCAGTCATCTGTGAGTGGCTTCGGATGTTGCCAGGCTTGGCAGATGGAATTCAGGAAAATGTTGATTTATGTGTCCCTCATTGTTATGGCAGTGGTATTATAAATTGGATGTCCTTATTCTGACTGGTGGCACTCCTATGATACCCTTCTTGACCCTGAGCCCCCCCCTGTGGAAATCAACTACTCCCCCTTCTCCGTTAAGTCTGGCTCGGAAAAGGCCTACAACACTTTTGGGGTTTGTCCTCACAGGTCTCTTCCACTGTTTCCTTTGAAGGCAACAATTAGGTTGAGTCCACGTAGCACAGGGTCTGGCCCTGAATAGTCATTCTATTAAATATTTGATGAGCAAAAGAGAGTTTCCCCATGCAACTTACCTCAACTTCCATCTATGTACACACTCTCTGAATAATGAGCAGATGGCAAGGCCCACCTCTTCTCTCCTTCCTCACAGTTGGTTCTGTTCCCCTTTGCGTTGGGCCTCCGCATGTGCCAGGTGGTGTTTTTAGTGCTTTGCCGGCCTTAGCTCCCTCAAGCCTCTTGACAGTACTCTACACCTTACTGTATGTCAGCTCAAGAATTTGGCAGCTCGGGTTGAGATTCTGAATTCTCTACTACTCAGTTGTGCAACTTCCTGTGTGACTCGATGTGTCTTACCTTCCTACTCTGTGAAATCATCAGGCAAATGATAACACAACTCATAGGTCTCATGAACTTTAAATGAGATAATATATGCAAAGTGCAAAGTGATTAGCACGGTTCCTGGTAAATAGAGATCTATTGATTTTATCCCTTAGCAAATGAGAGTGTGTTTGTCTTTTAGATATTTTATACCAAAGAATGTAATTATCTACTCAGCACCCACTTATCTCAGTAGAGTCAGGAATGTATCCCATAGATTTGTATTAGGAAGAGTCACAACTACATGGAAGCAGGACTATGGGAGGCAGAGAGACATCCAGGAAAAAGGAGGAGGAAGAATGGCAGGGCCTCTCTCTGGACCCAAGGAGAACAATAAAGATTCTATCTGCAGCATTCTCTGGACTTCAAGCATGTTTGTGATTGGCTAAGCGTAAGATTGGATTCTCTCTGGTCATGAGTCACACGTGGCCTTCCAGATGTCACATAATGTAATGGCAACATTACAAATGTCTTACTTGGGTGGCTAAGCAGTTGATCAATAATTATTTATTTTGTACCTAACAAATCACTGTCCCGAAAGAATATGTCCCCTCCCTTAAAAGTGGTCACACATGAGCTTTTGTTATAATGTTAACAAGAGCAGACTGGGAAGTGGTCCTCATGCACGTGAGGAAGGAACAGCTTCCTGCTGGGGTGACTCCAGGGTACCGTTCACGGGCCTGAGGCAGGCTGTGGAGAGAACATGATGACAAGGGTAAGACATTTCACCACACTGAGGTCTTCCGACACATACCGTTCAAATGAAAATGAAAACCATGACAAATTAAAGAAAATTAAAGGCTCTTCTTGCTCCTTCCCCTCACAAGATGCTTTCTGTGGTGCTCAGCCCAATCGAAGAGATCAGAGAGGTCATCATTTTCCACTTTCAAATACACGCCAGAGGCACATTCAGCAGGAAGCAGGCTTGGTGCTTTTAGAAGCTGCAGCACCCTGAGCAGGCTCTGAGAGGAGAGGGTTTTCCACACACATCCTGAGGACAGGAGCTTCCCAGGACCTCATCCCTGCTCCTACCATCTCTGATTCCTATCAAATATACACTACTTTCCTAAACTGTCTCTTGCAAGTGAAAAAAACACCCTTAATATCATACGTGGGTATGGTTAGGAAGAGGAATGCCTCCCTCTCGGCTGTATGTTTGTTACAATATGTTATAAATAAGTAATATCTTTATAAGAGAAAAGAAGACAGAAGGGGGAAGGATGATGTTTGTCAGGCAGAATGTGTGCCAGTTAGGAGAACCTGAACTAGAATGTTAAAACAGATTAAACAGGAAAACATCCTGCTGGCAATGAAAGCCGGTGTAACCAGCTTTGACTAGGCGGTGAATTGGCATTCACCAGGTAGCCAGCCTTTGAACTGAAGGTGGTTGCTGTCTCAGGCAAGGGGCATGGGCAAGCTCCAATTAGTGCTGCTTTGACAATTACAGGCAGCTCTGTGGGGGAAATGGTTCCTGCAAGGAGACAATGCAGGATTAAGGGAACCCTGGATCTCTTTGGGAAGTATCCATGAGGGAAAAAGCAAAACAAAATATATTTTAGTAGTTCTAATAGTAATAAACTGGTAACAGTTTGAAAGACTTAGGTAGTCCCATAGATCTCAGCATAAGAACCATATGCATCCATCTTCATCAACTCCTGACTTCTGTCTAGGTATGTGTTTGTTCATTCATTCAAACTCAATGAGTACCTCGTATGTGCCACTGGGCTATGTCTTTGAATGAGGATAGGATACTTCCCAGGCAAAGGAGATGAAGGCAGAAGATAAACAACCAAGGTATTAAGTAAGGGAGGTCTATAGTCTCAAAGATAAGTATGATGGCACAAAAACAGAAAAAATGAAGTGAGGGGAATCGGGGAGAAATAGTTGACATTTTAAATATGGACAGGGTGAGCCTGATGGGAAAGGTGACCTTTTAGCAAGGACTAAAAGGCATAAGGAAGGCAGCTGCATAGGTATTTGGTCATTGTGTTCCAGGTGGAGGAAACTGGCAGAGCAAAGGCCCGAAGGGAAGGGCAGGCCCAGCGTAGGAACAGCAGGAAGACTGGTACGGCTGGAGCAGAACAGGTGGGGGTCGGGGAGTGTAGTAGGAGATTGAGAGTCTGATCACACTGTCTTAAGCCCGTAATGAGAACTTTGGCTTTTATGCAGATGGCACGAGGAGGAAGTGCCAGTGTTTGTCACTGAGGAACTGCTCTCTCACCATCTGACATGGGATTTCTGAGATGACAGCAAGCCCAGGTCCTTGCTGCTACCACAGTAGAAAGCTCAGAGTTCTGTAGAGATCAAGGTGCATGTAGTTGAGTGCGGTCAGTTGTCTTCAAGCAGGTTCAGAAAAATCACCGTGATGCAACAGCTTCTAGCTGTTCCACTCCAAGGGGGATTTTCTTTTGCACTTAAATTTGTCCTAGAAATAGGGAGCAACATGTTGAATATGAAGTATCGTGGATCAGGAATCAGACGTCACATGGATCTTCCAACTCTGCCGCCTTGGATGATCTTGGACACTTTCCCGCTCATGTTAACAGGAGTGCTCAAACCCTGCAGAACTTACCTCACAGGGTAGATGTGAATGTTATATAACATAAGCTCATAAAGAAGCAAGAGAAAGGGAAATCTTTTGTCATATACTTACTGCATGCCAGGTTCTGGGCTAGGAGCTTGGTCCAGTTTACTTTTAAGGATTTTCTAGTGGAAGAAAACCTATTGAATAATTGAAAGATTTTTTTTTTCTTGAACTAACAAAAATAATTGGGTTGTACTATGAAGAGGGTTTTTTTGGTATAACTAACTTGAAGATTGGGATCCCAACCTAGGAAAAATAAAACCAGGATTAATGTAAAAACAAGAAACTGTGGAGTCCTGGTATATTTTTACCAGACTGAAAATGATTATTATATTTTAGAGAGTGAATTTTTTTTTTTTTTGAGTTGGAGTCTTGCTCTGTCATCCAGGCTAGAGTGCAAAAGTGCGATCTCAGCTCCGGGTTCAAGTGATTCTCCTGCCTCAGCCTCCCGAGTAGCTGGGATTACAGGCATGTGCCACCACACCTGACTAATTTTGTACTTTTAATAGACGTAGAGTTTCTTCATGTTGGTCAGGCTGGTCTTGAACTCCCAACCTCAGATGATCTGCCCACCTCGGCCTCCCAAACTGCTGGGATCACAGACGTGAGCCACCGCACCCAGCTGCGAGTGAATTCTTTGGCAATAAGGTCTTCACTTAATTGATCTATTTATGTCTAATAATAATGCTTTTGTGGAATAAATAACAGGAATTGGTAAAGAAGGAAGAAACTGACAATAAACAAATAGATAAAGAATGGTTGGATAGATGGATGGATGATAATGTTCATGATTCCCTGCAGGTCATAGCTTTCTGTTTGTTTGATGTAACTTTCTCATTTATGTAGGTCTCTCTGGCTTAAGAAATTATTTTTCTACTTAAAGAGTTGAGAATTACAAAAAAAAAAAAAATAGATTCTGAATATATGGAAAGAAGTGATAGAAGCCATGGCAGCAGCTGCTCCACTGATTCCAATCTTGGCCACGCTGAGTTCCCTGAAGCATGTCCTGCAAGTTGACCTGAAGACAAGGCCAATGCTTTTCTCCCTTTCTGAAGTTCATCTTTCAAAGTCACGATAAGAATGTGGGGCTGGGCACAGTGGCTCATGCCTGTAATCCCAGCACTTTGGGAGGCCGAGATGGGCGGATCACGAGGTCAAAAGATTGAGACCATCCTGGCCAACATGGTGAAACCCCGACTTACTAAAAATACAAAAATAATTAGCTGGGCGTGGTGGTGCGCGCATGTAGTCCCAGCTACTTGGGAGGCTGAGGCAGGAGAGTTGCTTGAACCCAGGAGGAGGAGGTTGCAGTGAGCCGAGGTTGTACCACTGCCCTCCAGCCTGGCACCTAGTGATGGAGTGAGACTTTGTCTCAAAAAAAAAAAAAAGAATGTGAAAGACAGCACCTGAGTCCAATTTTACATGTGCAGCAGTATACAGAATGCTTGGAATTTTCCCTCGCTTACTTCCCTTTTTCACTTCTTCTTCCTTAACCTCTTCGACCTTTTTATCCTCTGCTTTTTGCTTTCCTCCTTTTAAAAAAGTATTGCCATATTGGCATACTTTGCTGTAGTATATGCACCTTCCACACGTCCTGCCGGTAAGAACTGGAACACTGGCAGCACACCATCTTATGTTGTTTCTCCTACGGACTCCCATGTGTCTGACTGACCCTTTTGAATATCTCTAAATGTCTCTTGCTCTGATCTACTTCAATTTTTCACTATTCCTTAACCTCTTTTTTAATTTTGCATGTTGCATCTTTTCTATCCCACCCTCCATATTAACTTTTTTTTTTTAAAAAAGGAATATAATAAAAAAGGTTGAAGTATCACTAACTTTTCATTGATGTGCATGTGACCCCAGCAATCTTAACTGCTTGGAACAAAATCTTTGTGAGACAAAGGTGAGATTGAAGAATGCAGTTACGTGTTCTGATGCTAAGTGTATTGGCTTTAGGGTAATCTGCGCAATTCTAAGTCATGTTGATTTATGAACTAATTAATAGCACACAACAAAAATACATATGGGAACCTGCTCTACCCTCAGCCTGAAAAATCTCTAAACAACAGGAAAATGGGTTTTGCATGTTAGGAAATTAAATTCAATATATATTTATGAGGCCATTCAAAATGTGGAGTCCTTTTCTACTAAGTCCCGAGTAAGCAGAAATGTCCATGTATCAAAACCTAATTGTGCCAGAGTCCAAGGCTTGAGGAATAAATTAAGTCTTAAGCTACAAAAGACATTGGACATTAATTTTAAGGCTTATTATAGCTCTGATGATATGGGCATTAATAAATCCAACAGGAAGAAAGAATAAGGCAAAACGACAAATAAGACGTACCTATTGGTTTCCTTGGCAAAATGTTGATCGTTGATAATTCATTTAAAGTTACACAGACATTTCTACACTCTAGGGTCATTGTTCCAGAAGCTTATTAATAGGGACTGAATGGGGTGTTGAATATTTCATAGATTCTTAGAAGTTCATTTCTTGTTCCTGAGGTGGGGAGGGAATGAAAAGGATTTTATGCTACGTAATACATTCAACATTCATCCCACAGACCTGATGGAGCACTTCGTGTGATAAAGTGGTATTATAGGCTATGGGTAAAATTTGATAGGCATCCAAGGAGGGAGACATTATTTCAGGCTGGAAAGGGAATCATCTTTAGAACTGCTCTTATACCTGTAGATCTTTT